AACTTCTATGTGCCACTCAAAAAAGATAGAAAAAAGTGGAGAAGAATATCCAAAGAACTCTCAACCTTCTTAAAAATGTTATAGACTGTACAACACTCTATCACTGAGTGTTATGCAATCCTTCCCTACCCTCTTCCTAAAACTGCTGCTTGGCACACATTTTTTTCAAGGAACCCAGTACTAACATCATGATTTATGTTACAAAAGTCTGGCTGCCAGGCTTTTCCTAGACTCATACACATAAACCAAAGAGTGGATCAGAAACTCACTTACCATGCAGGTGACTGAAAAAATGGATTAAGACCAGGCAGGGGAGGTACTATGAAATACAAGGTACAACTGATTTTTACATCTAGATCCTGATTTCACTTCATCAGTTATACCTTTATTTTATCCAGTGGGGTGCCTCTGACAATGCTGACAAAGTCAGCAGGACATGAGTGTACAAAAATGTTTTTCCAAGTTGCTTTTCTAGAACACATCTGTTCCATCCACTGTGGGCACATGTAATGTTCCAAAAAAAAATGTATATTACTTCCTGAAGACACCAAGAGGTAAGCTAGAACGTTGCAACACCACAACTGCAAAGGGCCAGCCAAATAAGTAATCAACAGTGTCTATATGCTAGTCAACTATTATTTATACTTATAACTGAGAAATAAGGCCAATACTGACTCCTAAGTTAATGCCCTCTAAAAATCTAGAAGTGTTAAAAAAATAAAATCTAGAAGTGTTACTTGCCTCTTGTCACAAATGCTAAAGAACAAAACTCACTTTAAAAACATAAGAGACAAATGATTTTGAGGACCAGAAGAGAATTTGAAATCGTACATAACACTAAACTGTACACTTAAAATTGGTTAAAATGGTATATGTTTTATGTTAAATTTTCTAAAAATCATATGTAAATTCTCCTATGAATCATGTCAGTTTCCCCTGGAAAAAAGATAAGTCTATTAGACTACATTAAAGGATGAGAAACCATTAAGTTGAATGTGTTTAAATTATAAATAGTGAAAAAATTTTAGTGATTTCAATTAACAGAAACTTTCTGACCTCTTAAGGAAGGTGTTTATTAGATAGTCTCCATCTCCAAGGAGGGCATAAGCAATGAAAAAGTTTAAACTGTGGTAAGTAAGAGAGATTTAGTTTTGACGTAATTCTAACTAGAAAAGTAATTAAACACTATAATAAGGTACCGTGCATATCTCTGCCCTCAGGGATGCAAAAATAAACTGTCTTGGAAGGATTATATGCAATTCTTCAGGAAAAACTGGAATGAACTGGAGAATCTCTTAAGCCAACTTCCAGTTTTAGAATTCCAGGTTCTATACTCACTGTCCAATAGTGTCTGCAAGACATTCCACCTATAGAAAGTTATACTAATCTACAAATCATTTCAGTTGGCTTAGCATACTGAGTTTTTTTTATCACACCACTTACTTTCTGTACTTACTGAGGAACTGAATATTGGCTACTTTTATTAAGTATCCCAGCAGCATGGCTGCCAACTCAGGTATAAACACTACAAAAAGCTTAAGCTGGGGGCGCCTGGGTGGCTCAGTCGGTTGGGCGTCGACTTTGGCTCAGGTCATGATCTCGCGGTCCGTGAGGTCCGTGAGTTCGAGCCCCGCATCGGGCTCTGGGCTGACAGCTCAGAGCCTGGAGCCTGTTTCGGATTCTGTGTCTCCCTCTCTCTCTGCCCCTCCCCTGCTCATGCTCTGTCTCTCTCTGTCTCAAAAATAAATAAATGTTAAAAAAAAAAAAAAATTTAGAAAAAAAAAGCTTCAGCTGAAACAATACTTCATTCCAAATTAAAAATTAGAAATATCTACAAAATTCACAATGAACTAAAGACTAGAGGAAAAAAATCTTTTATAGGGTAGATAATTGACAAGGCCAAAACATTCAACTTAGTTTTTTGACAGCTTCTTAAAAAGCTAATACTTACTTTTGAAAATAAAAACAAAGTCTTTCCAACTTGAGTTTCATTTTAGAAAACTCATGGCCTTTGTTTTAAAATAATGATTTTTAATTTACCATAGTATTTTCTAGCAGTCATCAAACAACCGAATGGTGGTTATTTATTACAACCAATAGCAGGCACTTAAGAAGTCACAGTAAAGTTAATCATCTCAAATTCAACAGGTTAATCACAGCAATTTGAGAGATTTTGCCATCCTATATTATAGGACCATCTCAACAAAGTTAGACATTAAATGACATTTAAAAACAATACATTTCTAGACCACATATTTCTTAAACAACACAAACAAATGTTTTGACCAAATACACATGCATGACTATATTTATTTTAACTAGATTGTATTAATCAAGATGAGCATTTGTTTAAAACAAAAATCTAATGAACTTAACCAGGTCAAAATAGAAATCAAAATATAATACTGGGGCTAACTGCTTTCAATAGAAAGAAAAGAATAGTAAGCCTTACTTCCTTCAATTCACAAAAAATTTTTCATTTTATAATCAAAGACAAAGAATATGACTTTTACAACCAGAAAATAAGGTGGCTTAAAGCTGATTTACCACTTAATTGCCTGCATTCCTAAGAAGCTACTAACTTCTAACTGCTTTAAAACCTGAATACATCTGGGGCACCTGGGTGGCTCTGTTGGTTGGGCGTCAGACCACAGCTCAGGTCGTGATCTCTCAGTCCATGGGACTGAGCCCTGCGCTGGGCTCTGTGCTGACAGCCCAGAGCCTGGAGCCTGCTCCAGATTCTGGGTCTCACTCTCTCTCCACCCTCACCTGCTCATACTCTCTCAATCTCTCTCTCAAAAATAAATAAACATTAAAAAATTAAAAAAAGAAAAAAAACCTGAATACATCTTTTAATGGCTCACTACTTTGCTCAGAAATGTATCACACCTTGTTTCATACAGAGATGCTACATCATTAGAATACATGCTACTGTGCCATTGAGCTTAATAATTTTTTTATAAAAAATTCAAATAAAATTTTTATAACGCAACTATAATTTTTAAGTTATTTTTTTCTTGCCCACACTGGGCCTCACCTTTCACAAAACCTAAAAACAAACAATCTTAGATGTTAAACACACACACCTCAAACACATAAAATTCATTACACTGGTTTTGTAGCCACAATAATTATACTAATAAATACTGACTCTAAAGAACTAAAAACTTATTAGGGCAGGGTTTAAATGGTACGACTCACAAGGGGGTGGGGAGAAATAATGATCCTCCCCTACCAAACTGGCAGCAACAATATGCCAAGTTTCCTATGCTGAACTAGTGTAAACAAGGAAGAAAAAGAGCTGGGGGTGGGAAGCTGGCAGGCAAGAGAACAACCCTCGTCAAGATATAGCTTTACTTCTAAATTTCACTAGGGTAATACCTGTTCTCAGTGTTTTCAATAACCCCTATCAAGGACTATTTAAACACTATAAGTTGGTGTTCAGAAAACTACTGCAGGCTGTAGTCCCTCTCTTCCCAGACGTAAAAAGATATAAGTGGGGATCATAAATGCTTCTTTAATTATAAAGACTATCTCTCGCATTCAATGCCTCAAAAAGTTTTCTAAACATCTAGCAATTCAATCCCACTCTTGCTGTAACAAGTTTAAAGATAAAATAGTGATGCTACACAGAAAAAAAATTCACACATCATCTTTGGTGTGACCATAGCTACAAGGAAGACGAGCACCATTCCAGACAGGACTAGATGAGAAATGGGATAAAGACTAAGCTTACAGCCTCTTTTTTCTGGCATTGCCTGAGGCATTCAGTGGACATGGAATAAAGGGGAAGCTGGTTGTATAAGTGATGCCAAGAGAAACAAGATTCCACATGTCAGGGTACTGAATGCCCAAACACAGAGAGCAAAGGGCATTCATCCCATGGCTTTCTGACCAAAGAAAAATGAGTTGTTTCACCTAAAATCTTTTCAGAAGAAGTCGAATGGTCTGTACTTTACCACTCACCCTAAGTGAGTGTATTCAACAACCCCTCCTCAGAGAACAAGGAGAGAGCCTTGCTTATCAAAAATAGCGAGGGCTACATCCAAAGCCAAGAAACACTCCTTTTGGTCTAAGCGCCATGGTCTTCTGCCCCAATTCTACAAGGAGACTCCAAGCCAAAAAACTTGGTTCCTAGTTTTCCTAAGCCAAGTCCTCCATTTTCCCAAACAACCCAGTCTTATTTCAGATAAGCCCCTCTCCATTCTGGCATTCTGGAATCCAGGGCTCCAGTTCTCTCAGAAAGTTCCCTCCTCCAAGATAATCTCCTTTCCTTCACTTTTCCTAAGGCTTTCCCAGACCCTGCCCCCAAGCACTCCCGGTCCTCCGTTAGATCTACTAGCAGATCCCACTCCTCCCTGGCACAACTCTTCGGAAAGTCAGCTCTCTTACCGTACTCACTTGTCCTTCCCCAAAATATGTTTCCTTTTTCCCTGTCTTCGAATGAAGAAACACAACACACACGCGCGCGCGCATAGTATCTGTTCTCATCTCCTAACTCCCAAGTCTCTCCAGTGCCCCACGTTCTTCCAGAACACTTAATTCTCTCCCGGAGTTTCCTCTCATCCCTGTCTTCCTCGACCCTAACTCCATACCCCAGGCTTTCCCCCCACTCCCCAAATTCAGATTTCCTGTGCTGTGTACTCTTCACCAACACCACAGCCCTCCTGCTCACAGGTCCACCCCTATGGTCTCGATACTCAAGTCTTTCTCCTCTTCCCATGTTCTTCGGCCCCTAATTCTCCGCAGAACCTCGGGAAGCCCTCCCCAGTCTCCCTTCCGCCCCTCCTGCACTCCGTGGCCCCCCACTCCCCTCGTACGTCCTCTCTTGCTCAGCCCCCAAATTTCTCCCATGTCCCTGAGGCTCCCCCACACTCCCTCCACGCCCCGGGAAGAGGGTGCCCCTCAGCGCCCGCCCGCCCGGCCCGCCCTGCCGCTGGGCTCTGGTGTCCCTTCCCTTCCCCGCGGGCCCCAGTGCTGGCGCGATGGGGCCGGCTCACCAGTTGGTCATATCCAGGAAGAAGGCGCAGCCGGCCGGGTTGAGCTGGAAGCCGAGCAGTCGCTGGAACTCAGAGATGAGCACGTCCTTGTCGGTGGTGCCCAAGCAGCTGAACTTCTGCATCAGCTCAGGGTCCAGGTCCACGTCCATGCCCTCCATGGCTGGGGCCGGACACCCGCTTCCCCGCCTCCTCACAACCGAGCCGCCGCCGCCGCCGCCGCGCCGCCGGGCCCGGGGACCGGGAGGGGGCTCGCTGCTAGCTGGCGCCGCGACCCCGCTCCTTTAAGGTAGGCCCCGGGCCTCTCACCGCCTCATAGGGATAAACTCACTCAGCCACTCACTCACTCTCTCGCTCCCCCCCCTCCCACCCCCCCCAGCGCCGCCGCCTGCGCCGCCGCCGCCTCTCGCTTCTCTGCCGCCTCCGCCTCCTCCCGCGCCGCGCCCACTGCGCAAGCGCCGCCCGCCTGGGCCCCGCCCCTTCCTCTCCCGGAGTCCCGCCCCTCAGTGGCGTCACAACCTCGTGACGTCTCCCGCGTGACCTCACCGAGGTGGAGCGAGGGGGCGGGGAGTGGCAAAGAGGAAAGGGACCGCTCGGCGGCTGAGGGTGACTCCTGGCCTGACCTTCTCCTCTCTCCGCCCCCACTTTCAAGGGGAGGAGTTAAAGTCCGGGGTTTGGGGAGAAGCTCCGGGATCTTGGTGTACCGCAACTCCACCATTTTGCAGGTGAGGAAACAAGTTCGGGAGAAGAGACCATGGCAAGGTCGATTACCAAAGTGCAGGCAGGACGCAGTCCTCTCGGCCAGGGCTTTGCCCCTTGTCCTGGAAGGGCTTGTTTGCACAAGTTTTAAGAGCTGTTTTTCCAGGTCGATAAGTGCCGTGAACGCTTGGTTACCAGCCATCCTCGGCGATGGTTACTACAATTTGTTAGTGCCGTCTGTTATGCAACAGCAGTGTCAAGTCTCGGAAGTTAAGGAGGCCTCGATAAAACATCAATCAGAAGTCCAGACAGCAACATACATATCCTCCCACCCACTCTGTCAAGACCAGCCCTCTCAAAACAAAGGTTAAGTAAGTCACGAGGATTTGGCATGCCTTGTTCTGTTTTTAAAATAGGAAGCAAAATACTGCTGTAAATTTGGTACACCTGCCTGGTGAAGGCTCCATTTCGAGATCAAAGAATGAGAAAGGCAGCGTAGGGACCATTTTGTCTACCCCCTTGCATTCCCATTTGCTCAACACCGCCACATCCAAAGAGGAAAAGATGAGGAAGAAATGGTCTTCTGCCTTCAAGTAGCTCCCTGCTTTACTAAAAAGGAAAGTGAGATCCGGAAAGCTTATATGTCTTGTCCAAAAATACAGAGCAGCCAAACTAAAACCCAGCTTTCAGTTTCCTAATGGGTTATGTTTTCCATAACAATTTCAACAACACAGCACTAGAATAAGTGAACCGTAGTGTCTGGGTTGCTAGGAGGTTTTACAAAGGGACAGGATTCTATCTCTGTTAGTAAAATAAAATATCTTTAAAAGCCTGGGTTCTGGGTCACACACATTTAGGATTCTCATTCTGCCAGTTATTGGTAATCATAGTGCCTGCCCAGATAGGACTGCTGTAGGAATTAAATGAGATAAAAAATATAAACTCAACACAGTGCCTGTTCCATAAAAAACACTTCAAGAAGTGATAACTAGTATTGTGGCATAAGACGACTCTGGAAATAGGCAATGATACAAGTAGCCCAGGATATTTCTTTACCTGACTCCCCTTCTACTTCATTTCCCTTCCTTGTTCTCTATTACAATATGAAATATATGCCCTTTCTCTTTTCCTACTAAGGGACCACCCTTCTCCAGTGATATATTATGGGAGATAACTTTAACAGCAGATAGTTACAATACTTACAAACTCATATAATAGTTCTGAACTTTTTTTTATAAGAAACTGTTCTTAGGCCTCTAAGACCTGAGCAGAACTTAAATCATTGCCAAGGCCTAATTTTTGGGTGACCACAATGTTGGAATATGTTACTAATATTGAGGAAAATTCTATTTCAGGGGTGAACACATATTGTCCCAGTCTTATGGATGGTGGAATGGGAACACAGATTATAAAAATCCCAGTATTAGAACTGAAAGAAATCTAAGACTGCCTAGCCCAACCTCCCCCATTTTATAGATGAAGAAACTGAAACCAAGAGTGGGGAACTGATTTACCCAAGATTACACAACTAGTAAGGGGTGTTCAAACTCCCAATCTAGCACTGTACCCACTATATCCTACTACAATTCCTTTTATACTTTGAGTTCAGTTTGGCCTTACATACAAAATAATCAGAAATTGATATTACTCTATTAACTAAAACTAAGTGTCTTAACTTGCAATATCCATGGATTAATGTTGTGTTGACCTAGGACCCAAAAGAAGAAAATGTTATTTTGTTATAAACCTGACAACTCCATTAGAATGCTAACCCAAGAGGGGCGCCTGGGTGGCTTGGTTGGTTAAGCGTCCGACTTCGGCTCAGGTCATGATCTCACGGTCCGTGAGTTCGAGCCCCGCGTCGGGCTCTGTGCTGACAGCTCAGAGCCTGGAGCCTGTTTCAGATTCTGTGTCTCCCTCTCTCTCTGCTCCTCGCCTGTTCATGCTCTGTCTCTCTCTGTCTCAAAAATGAATAAATGTTAAAAAAAAAAAAAAAAAAGAATGCTGACCCAAGATAAACTAACAACTCTTGGCCAACACCATGTAGTATTAAAGTCTTGACTCACTCATAAACAGCCCACATAATGCAAAGAGATCCTTGCAAATAAGAGACCCAAGTGGCCCAGAACTTCAGTTTATGACAGAAGTTATCTCAAAAGAGTGTAACTACTCCTAAAGTGAATTCTGAACATTGTGGGGACATTTGGGGTTCTCATGAGATTGGATGTGGTACCCTGGCCATTAATTCCCTGAGGACTGAGGATGATAATCTGCAATTCTTGGGACAGTCACACACAATAGAGGACTGACCCATCCCTAACCACTATGCAAAAACACTGACCAAGGTGGCTGGCACATTAGGTATGAAGGAAGAACCAGCCGCTCCACCTTCCATTGAATTGTTCTTTTGCGGGATGAGAGATTAAATGGAGAAAATGAGGTGTTACCCATCAGGATACTCACAGAAATGTGAATCTCCACTTGAATCTGGGGGGATATTAACATGCATGGTTCTGCTATAATGGCTCTGCAGCTTTGTTTTATTTTGTTGGAAAGAGGGCATGCAGAAGGACTAGTTGAGAGACAAAAGAACAAATTGCTGAACACCACCCTAAGGACAAAAAGCTGATTGATGGCAGTATTCCAAAAGGGCTTCTAGGTATTGTCTCAGAACTATGTCAGGTACTTTGCCCAGAGATGCCGCTGCCTGGGATATCATACAACCAGCCAGTTTCTTTCTGAATTTCTTGGGCTGGTGATCACATATAAGAAATTTAAATTAACCCCAGATCCCCAGACTAGTTCAGTTTAAAATTTCTTAAAGGAGTTAAGCCATTCAATCTTTAGAAGTTAAAAGTCTGGGAGAAAAGTGATTCATCTCACCAGGGCAGCCTAGATTGGTTCCAAACCTCTAAGTCCCTAAGATTCAGAATTGCCAAGCCTGGCTAGTACTAAGATTATGCCACAGCATAACCGATTCAAGGAACAGACAGAGTCCAAATAGGTGTTATGCTACATTATATGATAATAGCAACTTGTAGTAGAAACCTTTTGGGTATATATCCAAACTGTGATGATCTCTTTTCTGCCAACTATTAATGACCCTCTATGTGGCCTCCAGCAGCCATATGTATCCTACATTGCCCTTTCCTTTAGCCTCCATTTGATTGGACAAAAGGGATATGCTCAACCTAGGATCAGCCAATCAGATTCATTCTCTCTCTCTCTCTCTCTCTCTCTCTCTCTCTCTCTCAGGAATTTGGAACTGAACTCAATGAGTTTGTGGAACAGGCCTGGGCTATTTACTTGAAAGTCAGTGATACAAATACAGAAAAGAGACTATCTTTGTGGGGCACCCATTAAAACAAAATAATGCCCATCTGCAGAAAGAGAGCCACAAGGCAGAGAGAAACAAAGATGAGAGACCTGAAGGCTTAGGAGAGAGAAGTTCCTATCACTTTGAGTCCTGGTTATTCAGCTTCCCTTAGATTCCGTTAGAATCTCCAGATTCCATTCAAAATACATTATCTCTGGGGCGCCTGGGTGGCTCAGTCGGTTAAGCCTCCGACTTCAGCTCAGGTCACGATCTCACGGTCCGTGAGTTCGAGCCCCACGTCGGGCTCTGGCCTGATGGCTCAGAGCCTGGAGCCTGCTTCCAGTTCTGTGTCTCCCTCTCTCTCTGCCCCTCCCCCCTTCATGCTCTGTCTCTCTCTGTCTCAAAAATAAAAATAATAAAAATGTTAAAAAAAATAAAAACAAAATACATTATCTCTTAGATGAAGTAAAAAAATAATCAAGTTATTTTAAAAAATTAAGAAAATCATGTGAATACAATGTTTGATTTCTAGATAGGGATGGACGTCCTACTCTTAAAAACAGTGAAAACTTGGGGGCGCCTAGCTGGCTCAGTTGGGAGAGCGTGTGACTCTTGATCTCAGGGTCATGAGTTCAAGCCCCACACTGGGTGTAGAGATTACTAAAAAAAATAAATAAATTTAAAACAAATAATGAAAATTCCAATTGAAAAAAAATGGCACAAAAAGGCAATTCACAAAAGAAGAAATACAAATGGCAGATAAACATATTAAGAGATGTATTATGCTACCCATATTAAAGAAATGGATTAAAACAGCAATAAGGTAGGGGCGCTTGGGTGGCTCAGTCAGTTACGCATCTGTCTCTTGATTTCAGCTCAGGATCCCACGGTCATGATCTCGCGATCATGAGCCCACCTCCGGCTCTGCACTGGGCTTGGAACCTGCTTAAGATTCTCTCTCTCCCTCTCTCCCTCTGCCCCTCCCCAACTCTGCATGCTTGTGTGCTGTCTCTCAAAAACAACAACATTTTGCCTAATCAGATTGTCAAAGCTTCAAAAACATTTATAATAGCTTTAGTTGGCAAGAATATGGAGAAACAGGTGCTCTCAAACACCACTGCTTCTGGGAATATAAATTGATGTAATTTTTCCTAATAGTGAGTGGATGTGAATTCAGATGAATTGATGTGAGTAACCTTAATAATGTTCATATATAATAGCCCCCAAATCTTAGGTTTATAAAAAAGCTTTTTGTTAGAAGTATTATAATACATGATAGTAAAAAGGTGGAATAACCCAAATGTCCACCAATAGGGGAATTGTTGGATTCATTCTTTTCACCAATA